TAATAATAACCACACAAGATTTGCTAACGGATTAAGTCTCCGCTGCACAACATGAGACATCTCTTCAGTTTAGCCTTAAATACTACAATCAGTGTCGGGCAGTAACGCGTTATAGTAATTACATTACTTTTTCCAGTAATTACATGACTTTTTTCTATCTAGTGTAACTAATTACAAATAAATTTCTGTAGTACTATTACAATTACTCCAAAACTAAAAAAAAACTCATTATAACGTTTCTTTTGATATCACATCACTACTGACTTGAGATAGGCTACAACAGTCACATCAGCGGACTCTTTATTGTAACCGTCGTGCAGCGCGTGCACGTCACGAAGCAGCAAGCTAGTTGGAAACGCTAACGTTCGCGGCTGGAAATATTCCCGTTACTTTGATTTTGTCAGGAGGAAAGATGACAAGAACACTGTTGCTGCAGGTAGTCGGACTCAAACTCTCCTCACTACGAAAAACACGTCCTTAAGCTTCCGGTCTGAAACCTCGGCTACTACGACAGACAGCACAATAACGTGAAGCTCCAGGAATTACACCTCACCGAAGGTAAGCCCTTCTCGACCGCGGAGGTCGGCTGTAGCCCTACACTGGATAAAACCTTAACTGCAAGCTACAAAGAAGTAATGAAACGTGTGGTTGGATATGTGGTGGGTGAAATGTTGCTCCATGAGTGACTCTCCGTCTTTTGGACACAGCCTTGGGAAAATACCGGTCACAGGCAACAGAAATCCCCAGGTAAATAGAGGCTAGCTAGCCTACTCTTAGCCGAGATTACCCTGACATTCACACAGAGGCGCACATCTCAATTTTGGGGAGAAACGCAAACACCAGTTTTATGGGGTGTGACAGAAAAGTAATATAACGAGTAGTGTAATGAGTTACTGTTGGCAGGGAGTAATAAGTAAGGTAATCTCATTACTTTTGATAAAAGGAACTACTAATTGATAATAAATTACATTTTAAAGTAACAAGCTCAACACTTACTACAATCACACAGAAAATTGGGACTTTATACAAAACATGGTGTTTGTGGTCATTACTAACAGCCAATTAGCTCTTCTATCAGGTGACCAGTGTTGCCAGATCTCACGAGACAAGTAAGCAACCAGGCCTGTGAAAACAAGCCCAAAACAAGCGACTTTTTCTACGGAGCCCCCCCCCCGGTTCCGGTGAGAGAAAATTAAATAAACTGTGTGCACGGTTTTACAATCCGTGGGGACGGATTTTAAACTGTGGGTACAGATTGTCAATTTACATCCATGTGGACAGATAAGTAAACTGTGCGCAGTTTTGCAAAACTGTACCCGTGGTACACAGTTTATTTATTTTTCTCCCCCCTGAGCTTCAGGACAATGACTACAAGAGGGAGTTAAACCACTTTTTAACATTATTTAACGTTAGAAAACAGAGGGGATATCAAATATAGACTGATGTACCAAGTACAACATATACACAGTAAACCTCTGATAATTAAAATTTGCACACACAAATAAATATCATCCTGAATTCACAAATTCTTTATTTATTATTGCTTTTTATGCACTCATCTAACTTTTTCTTTTAGTTACAGGACTGATGTTTTCCTAACCAGAAAAAAAAATACATTACCCTGCTCTGCCTCTGATTGGCTAGTACTCTTTGCCATCAGGGTCAGAGCAATTAGAAGCAGGATGCGGGTGGAAAAAAACTCTGCTGTCTCCTGTGTGTATTGGGAAAGGGGAGGGACAGAGGGAACAGGCAAGACAAACTATCCTACGTTTAAATAACATATCGAAAATATCTGCTTGACAACTTATTATGGAGCTGGGAACAAGCCCAAATAAGCAAATACGCTTTAGAAACAAGCCCCCCAAAAAAAACGCGACCCGTGACTACCAATATTTGTAAGCCACTTTACAGAAAAGTATAATAAGCGGACTTGGCAACACTGCAGGTGACAGCCGGGCGTTTCCCATGATGCTCTGGGTCTTGTAGTCAGTGGAGAGCACCTATGTGCCTTACTCTAAAACCTACAGCAGCTTGACCTCATGAGGTTATCGTTCTGCATAATGTCAGAGCAAGTTGTGATCAAGATACATTTACACAGCGATTGCCAATGGTTGATTCTGCGCAGGCCTAGCTTAATCACTAATTTAGTACACAGTATGCAGTACATATTGATTGAGTATGTAGTAAGCAGTTGCTAGTATGGAACTTTGAGCACAACCACATTAACACAACAGAAATGTAATCGCTCCAGCTAGATGTAGTAGAGTAGTGAACTAAAGAAGAATTTTACTGCGGGAAAAATGGTCTCTTAATAAAACTAGGCTATCTATGGAGTAGAAAGATGTAAGTACTTTTAAAATTGGTGTTATATGACCAAAGAAAACAGAGGAAAGGGGCACTGGCATTTGCTTTGCTCAAAAGGTACAAAAACCTACAACTACCAGAATGCACTGCATCCTATCAGACCAGTAAACACACTCGCTGGTAAGCTTGGCTCTTTTTCTACATAAAACAATATGGTAGCCAGCTGGTAACAAATGATCTGGAATTACAGTTAAATGGTGAAGTTAAATATGTTTCTGAAAACACTTTAAACCCTTTAAGGCCAGAAACAGGCAACGCAGTAACAAAGTCTTGGTTCATATTTGATCAGCACTGCCTAGTAAAGTGCCCACTTCCTGTTCACACATTATCGTATTAAAACCATACAGTGCACAAAAATATGTTTCTAAAGACATTGTAGGTGAGAAATAGGCAATAATAATGCACTTTCTTTTAATGATTTGCTGCGCATGGGCTTTGTTTCTGTGATAACAATATCTTGACACTAACATTAGCCAGGTAGCTCACATAACACGACAGTAATATGGGGGTTGATACAGTCAACTTCAAGCTTACAAAGTGAACGATGGAAAAAGCACAAGACTTACATCCAGTGTCTGCCAGCCCATCTGCTCCCAATAATTGAGCTTTTCTGTCTTTGATGTGACAGTAGACAGTAACCCAGCTAAGACGCTTCAGTGACATCACTGGTGCCTTTCAGAAAAGTTCAGAGATTGGCTTGGAGCGGCCACACAAAAAAGGCAGAACACTGTGAAATTAGACACTGGGCGTGACGCTTTTTCTCTAGGTGGCTGCATATGGTTGCTCCTCATTAGGAGCATTTGAAAAAAGATGCCAGCGCTGAGAAAAAAAAAGCTATGTGTACACAGGCCCTAAGGAGGGAAGTTTACTTTAGTTAATGTTCACTTACGACCTACAATGTTTTAACAAAAGCAGGTTGAAAATCGGCATAGTATCCCTTTAAACATAACATAAGAAACATGGAAGCGTGACTGCTGCGTTAACATCAGAAACAATGAAGACAGCGTCGGAAACAGCTTGCTGTCTGAAACCACCTTAAAAAGCACAGAATGAGCAGGCCAGGTGAAAAGAAGCAGTTGGTAACACCATGTACACTATATAGACGGCCAGTTCTAGTCAGGACAAGTCAGGACAATGAACATAAGAACTGCACAGGGAAGTACAATTATGAAGAAGTTTTATCTTGGTTTTATTGAAGGCTCGCTGCAAAGCTGACATCAGCCATTCTGTAAAGTTCACTCACCTCCATCTCTCCTGGAAAAGTGAACAGTCTCTTCATCCACAGCCCAAGATATTCCTCCTTTCCAACATTTCCATACATACTTTTGTGCAAATGCACAAACTAAATGGTTTATTTGTTACAGTCACACCACAGAATTTGTGTTCTCCTGGGATTTTAAAGGACTGTCTAACAGTACTAGTCTAATCAGCTTTTCTGTACGCTCTCTCTCTTTTTTAAAACGGCAAGTGGCCTCAGGTGTCACGTCGACTTCAGTACAGCATTTGAGGCTGAGTGAAGACTGTGGAATACAGTGCTGCTGATCCCATTCTTATTTTCCATATGAAACAAGTTTACCCACCACTGTTCCTCCTTTTTGAGATGGTGCGTTCCCAGAGAACACGGCGGGGTGGAGAATAAAGCGGAGATCGGATGGAGGAGTGAGATGAAAAGGCCAGTTGTGACAAGTAAAGGAAGGGAAGGAGGCAGCAATTGGGGAGAAGACAAACCCAGTTATTGAAAGGAAAGCATGGGTGTTTGTCAGCGTTTGTCACTCAGCGGTGTGAAAATGCATCCTGACACCCATTTATCACTGTATATTTAGAAATCAGAATCGTTAGAAGGGAATCACAAATTTGAATACATTAGCATCCTTCCCCGCCACGCAAATATCAAAGCTCAATGAGGCTTTATATGCTTGTCCTCTAAAGTGAAGGCCGCTGGATTGTTTAAATGTTTGCAGCCTGAAAAGCAAAGTGCTCACGAGTTTGGATCCACTTATTGTAGCAGTATCATAACAAGAATGTAAACAGACGCAGGCGCACAGGTGCAGGCGTGAATTGTCTCTCACACACACATACACACAAGCACACTCTCTCAGCAATAGATGATGTTTTTTTATGACTCTCTTCCAGAGCCACCTCTCTCACTGGGCATCTACTGATACCCATTAATCATGAGCTCTCTTGTATTGTCAGCCCAGCCTCCCCTCCCCTCCTCGCTCCTCTCCTCCGCCTCCCCCTCCTCCCTTCACTTTCAGCCTGTCAGTTAACAAGCTGTGACACCATGACAGTGATGTGTGTGCAACTGAGTGATGCCTGGCTGCAGCCCTTATTGGAAAGGTATTGAAATGCTCCGGCACGAAGAGGGTAGTGATGAGATTGTATTTCTCAGCTCCTTATGACAGAATGTAAAAATGGCAGCTCTGCCTGGCTATTCAATTAGATGACGTAGAGGGAGAGCTTTGTTTTGGGTTGCCCCCCTTTGACAACATGATTCACTGTGGCATGCAATCAGCTCTGTAGCAAAAATCCCATGTTTTTATTTTACACACGGTGGAGAAAATTCAACCATGTATGCAAAAAAGCATTCACTCATGTTTTTTTTCTCTCCCTTGTGTATGTGTTTGTGTGTACAGGCTCCGTGTCCCTCAGTGTGTTCCTGGTCTCCCTCGCAGTGACAGTGTGTGCTGTTTGGCTGGTGGCTCTTTGTGGCGTCTGTGGTTGGTGTCAACGCAAGCTGGTGAGTTTACACACACACACACACACATGTACGCACAAGCTTCACTAACAGATATACTGTAGCTTCCAGTCACATTTGTTGCCATCTTATCATGCTTTAATATTCAGAGAGCCTTAATAAACATTGTCTGCTGTGATTGTGCTTGAAAAAGACACGTTGGTGCTCTGGAGAAACAACAATGTGTGCAAATATTATGAAAATATGTGCAAATATTATGTGCAGTCTTGTTGAACTGAGAATTTTCAGTTACACGACAGTTATTAATGAAAACATATTACCAGTGGTGGAAGAAGTCAGATTTCTTACTTGTGTAAAAATGCCGAATACAGTGTGAAAATACTCCATTATGAGTAAAAGTTCTGCATCCAAGCCCCACTCAAGTGAAAATACACAAGTATAAGCAACAATATGCTTAAAGAACAATGAGTAAAAGTACTTGTTGACCCCTTGTAGCCACACCTGCAGGCAGCAGAGTAAAATGTCTGGTTTTGGAGGCACTGAGTAACTAATTATTATATCTCTGGATTAATGCATGACATATTCTGTCTGTTATGTATCATTATTCTACAGTTTAAGGTCAGTGGCTGGCTTTAATAGCTTTAAAATGGTATTTTAATTGTGCTTGGCTCTGGAGAACCACATGCCAAAACAACAATGTGCAAGGCCAGAGCTGATCGCCTGTTGCCCTGCTGCAATTTGATTGGCTGCTTGCCAAGTGCTGTTGTTGTCATTTGCTTGTAGACATTAGTATTTCTTTTAAATAAGATAGTAACTGCAGTTACAATGACTTATGTGGATAATCCTCTTCGGCATGAATTTGATATTCTGCTTTTTGAAGAAAAACTCGAGATTAAACACGTCAGTGCCCCAGGCCGTTGGATATTGTCATAAACCAAACTGCTGGTGAAAGTAATCAGATTCAAGGTGGAGTGTATCTCCAGGGAAATAATGGCAAAGCTAACTTGTCAGAGAAGACACTTTTTTTGCTTCCCATGTGTGTTATAATTTGAAGGGGATGGTACCGGGTCAAGAACAAATTTTCAGGAGCTCAGGCATCTTTCTGAGAGGATTACCAAACATTACCAAACATGAAAGCAGCAGGGAAACGTGGGAAAATTGCTGAAAGATAGCTACCCAAATTGACAGCGCATACAAATGGGGGATTGAGCAGTTTACAGTAGCAGCACGTTGAGGAGAACGGGGGCACATTCAGCCCTGACAAATCTTAGCAAAGTGCTTATTTAAACAGAAACACTGGTGCATTGAGCATCTTGTTGTTTATGTTGTGTTACACAAGTGTGCTGCCTTTTTAATATGACAGCATTTATACACATATCACTACTGATTGGGTAACACTTGGTACACACCCACCAGACAGGAGAAAATGAACCTCAAAGCCTGTTGCACAGTTTCACACTGTTTCTAGGAAAAATGATGTTCAACCTAGAAACTGTAGCAATCGGTGCACAGGGTTTTCAGACAGATGGGCCCCAGGGAAAACCTTAGATAGCGCATCATGTCAAGTAACTATAAAGTGGTGTCATTTTCTGGGTTTGTATGCATGCAAAGTAGTTGTTGCCCCAACATTTTGTTCCATTTAAAAACTTCCTCTGTGGCATATATGTTTTACTGCTAGATCACCTAGCACCACTGAGCGAGGTAACATTACAGCTCAGCTGAGGTGGACATCATTAATGTTTACATCTCATACTGTCACAAGTACAAGCCTCTTGTCCATGAGGAGATGCATGTTTCCCTTGTAACAAAAGTGGGGATTTTTTGCGCTTTGGGCACCCTAAGCCAAGTGCCGTCTTGTTCCATTAATCAAGAGAAGGCAGACATCTCTATGGCCAATACTTTCAACATTCAACAACTTGCACCAAAACAATTTTGGCATGATGTATTTTATGTCACAGAGCAAAACATGAAAGTCTCTTGAGCTTATGTAAACCACAGACCTTATTTCAGGCATCTAACAAACAGCCCATTAAGAAAACCCAGTGACTTCAGGACGAGGGAACTGGGAGTGCTAAAATGCAAACTCATTTCCAGGTTTTAGGACTCATTCCTGCACCACGCTTTTTATTACAATTCTGTGACATTGTATGATTTACAATGACATATCGTCTGGTGTTTCTGTGTGAAGTTAAAGCAGCTAGAGGGGGTAAAAGCATGACATGCACCATTTCTTGAATAAAATTACAGATTTCTCTAGGTTTGAACATTGTTGGAAACATTTGGGATAAATTAAGTACACAACTCAAGAAAATATATAACATAGCCTCAGTCGTTTTTGTACATTTTAATGTGGAAATGTGTAATATTATGTGTTTAACAACAGTACTGTAGAGAAGTAATGGCCACAGTTGCGTCAGTGTGCACGTGATCACAGCAGTACAGACTCAAACTAATTAAACCTTCAGATAGACGCCGCTCCAACATCAGTAAACTGTGCTGATACAGCATCAGTACCAGTCCACTCATTGAGGAGAAACAGAACACAGATCATGCAGACTGACCTCCAACAGAGGGCATGTCATTGTGATTATGTGGTATGAAATGTGATTGATTAAAGGGAGGCAACCACTCATTAGGCAGACAGAGCTGTACGGCTGAGTGCCACTTCACTTGGCTGATTTCTTTTAGATTTGCATGCCTTTAAACTTAATTGATTTCTGATTCATCCTGTGCTTGTACAACCCAGGAACACAGGTCACCTCTTTCAAGTTTAATGTTGGCCCCAACTTGTTTCAGCTCGCCATCGCACTGCTGTGAAACTTATTGGTCCACAGATGGCAGGATTTGGCATTGCAGCGGGCTCCACACAGCACATGCCTCTCTACATTATGTCATCAGCTTTGCTTAAATCCCCAGAAGGTGACTGTACCTAGGCAACTGGTCGATAACGTTATACCACACCAGGGAGGAAATGGTCTGTGCTGAAATGGGACAGTAGTACAGCATAGTCTTTGTATTGTTTGCTTCACTGGAACGTTGTGTTATATTTGATATTCCACTTTAAAGTAAATGGAGCAGTGAATGACTCCTGGGTTCCAGCTGTGGATGAAGTTAGTTCTGACTGCGCTGTGCCGTGCCCTCAGTCCTCTCTGCTGTAAATGGATCTTATTTCTATCCTGTGACGGTGTAGCGCAGCAGCCACAGAGCAGAGGAGACCTGGGATAAGTTGACAATATGTTGGACTTATGACCCTGTGAAGGCTACTATTAACTACATCCTCACACACAGCATGATGTGCTTCTATCTCAGGCTTCATCCACACTAACACATTTTTGTTTTATAAATGCATAACTATTGCTGCATTTACACCAAGCATCCACAGTATCTGTAACTGGAACCCATAAAAAAAAAGATCTTTGAAAACACTGCTGACCCTGTTTTAGTTTGAAAATTTTGGGGTTGTGTTTTAGTGTGGTAGGCGAAACAAGAGGCTTGGAATCAATGACGCAGTCACCCACATTCCCCCTCAATTGGATCTTATACAGAGATCCACCGATGTGAAATTCTGGGCCGATATCGATGCTGAAGTTTAAAATAACGATTACAGATACCGATGATGTTTTTTTCTTCTTTTTTTTTGTTTTTATTTATTTCCCCTTTTGTGCCAGGGAAACATAGAAATCTTCATTATAAAAAATAACTGAACAATTTTAACGCCCTTCATTACGCTACCTTTAAATGAGCACAAATTTAATCACATACATACACATATATCAAACAACCTTTATAATAACCTCCTTTAACATAAAAACCATAAAAAAATAACTGCTTTAAAAGCCGTTTAACCATATATAATATATTACAATTCCCTTTCTAAGTTTCTCTAAACCCCCCCCACAGATTACATTGAACACATGAGAAAGTTATAATTTACTTTCACCCAATACTCATTTTTACCGAAGAGAACTTGAACGCTTTTTAATGTAACTCAGTGCAACCTCTGTCAGCAGTTAGTTCTGGCCACGGGCTGCTAACAGCTAACAACTAATGTTTAGTAGCTCTCCTCCTGCTCCTCAACATGGATTTGTTGTTCACAATGTAACATTATCAGGTGAATAACAGGGTGGATGGTGAGTTTAAGGCATCCTTTCGTCCTGACGGCATCCCGGTAAAGATCTCTGTTCATTTCAAACATGTTTTCTCGTATCCCCAGGGGACAGAACGCTGTGAGTTTGGAGCCCTGCTTCTTAGCCTGCACAAAATTGATGTGGCACAACAGAAAAACATTGGCCACTGCTATCCGTGTGTGTGTTTTATTTGCTGATAGGCCGATGGCAGTCAGCAAGGCAAATATCGTCTGATAACGATGTGCGTCCGATAAATTGGTGCATCCCTCGTCCTGTTAGTCACAATGTGTCAAGTCAAAACATAGATAAATCATCAAACCTTTTGTGATTTTATCATTCTTGCGTGGATACTTCTTTCCCATTGCCACGGCTTCCTCCAGCAATGGATAATGCTCCTGCCCGTTACCGCTCTAATATGTTGCTGTATTTACTTTGTAACGACTACCAATCTGTTTTCTGCCGCCTTGACCTACATAGTCGTGTTAATTTAAGTCCCCCCTCAGTGTTGGTCCAAGCAGAGAAATCTCTGGCCTTACTTTTCACCATCTCTGGAGAATTTTCTGGAACTGAGCAACAGACTGCTTAGTTAACAATCTGTTTACTGTTTACACTGGTACGTGCATGCCTAGTGTGCGTGAATGGTCGTGCAAAATGGTTTTCAGGTGTCTTAGTATGGACGCACATTTATTCTAAAAAAAGAGCTAAAACGCACATGTGTAGAGATCGTTTTTGTTTCAGCACATTTTAGGACTAACTATTAGTGTGGATGTGGCCTCAGTGGGCATGCTGTGCATGTCTTATTTTTCCTGCTTATCAGTACATCTTACCCTGGTTACGTCGGGCTGTGTGCTTGTGTTTGATGGCGGGGGTAACACAGAGTGGCATCAAGAAGTTAATTAAGCTCTTTTTTGTCTT